GACGGATCTCTTAAAAAAATAACAATGGATTGAATGAAGAGCTCCGTAGAGTCCATCTTCCATCAACTTGAAGAACTACACAAAGAATTCACAGATTCTTGCAGATCCGTTGTCTGTATACTACGTGGTCAAAAGCCAATTAGGAAGTGCGTTCTAGTAGTGCTGGTCCGAGTCTAGACTAATTAAATAGACTAAGCGGAGAGCACACAATTTCACAAACATCTATAAGGCGAGAGAATAATAAGTACAAATAATTATCTAGAAAAGCCCATTACAAGCGCCCCGAAACAACAGTAAATATCAGCCAGCCCCATTGGATATCACCTAGAAATGTTATCATTGTCACCTCACAGACAAGATCTTAAGGCTTTTCTGTAAAACATGCAGCTTAGCTTCCAGGTTGTTTGAAGATGACCGGTCGCTGTCGAAAATAACTCTCACGACACAGGTCAAATATAACGCTCAGTTATTGGGACACTCAGCTAGAAAACCCCTTCGCCCACCCTCTTTCACATGATCACTGAACTCGAGCAAGTAACCAATTGTGAGCATTCTGGCAAAGAGACGAAGACATATAGGGATTCTGGGGGAAAATTCAATGGATACGAATGGACACGATAATGTACCTCAGATTAGGGCCATCTATATTGTTCAACAAGATGATCAGCTGTTGATGGCTGCGTTCTAGGGTAGCTGCGATATGCTTTGCCCATTCGATAAGTGAACGTCGTTTTGGCTGAAAAAATGGAACTCTTCACAAGTTGCGTCAAAATGTGTCACTAAAGAACATTGGGCTGCGTCTATACTCGCCGACTCGTGACAACGATGGTACTCTCCAGTGTTGCCCGACAGGTATATGCCTAATTTCTGCTTCTTCAGCATTTGTCCTGCTTTGAGGTCGCGCCCTCTTTACTTCTAGCTGACGTCACTTTTCGCAATAGAATATTTGGCCAGGATGAAGGCCAACTAGTCTCAAGTCATCACGAAAGGTATCAAGAAAGTGCTGTTTAGCAATCATCACCCCCAAAGATTCTTCATTTAGTTAAAGCATTAAGCGCTTACCTCACAGCCTTTCAGCTTCATAGAATCAACAATATTAGTCAGGATTGTTTTTGTAGTGACATCCTCTTGAAATCCGTCAATACTGAGAGTATTGAATGTGCTTAAATGTGTTTTACGGAACTCTTCAAGTAAAGTCCTCTTCGAGCCGACACCGTATAACTGAAATAAAGTAGGTGGAAGCAATTTGCTTCATTCGATCTTCTGCTTTAGTCACATTATTCACAATGGCTATGCCAGTTATAAATTATCAACTGACCAGCATATTGAATCCGCCAGCTAAGCAAAATGTCCACCATTTGAAATCTTTTGTAATCTTCTTGAAAGATTCTTTGCTTTTAGAGTTGGCATCTTCATTCTGAAAGCCCATATAGAAGGTACCGCTCTCACTGGGATAGGCAACCTAACGTACACTAAGATAATCTCGTAGAAGTCCAAGGTCACAATGACGAAATCTTGTCTCATTCTCGACTTCCTCATTGCCGCTATCGCCCGCTTCTTCGCACAGACTAAAAACAGAAAGGTTGTCGAATTTGGCAAAATGATGAGGGCAAGAAAACCTACTTGGTATCTGCCAAGTGGGCAATCGGCTTTGCTTTTGTCCGCTTCGTACGACCTCGATTCATCTGCGCTATTTTACCTTGTAGGAAGTAGTTTTCAACTCCGGACAATGTGATGGCTGCTGTTTCATCCCTATTCAGTATAGACATGTATTTTGATGTTTTGAATTGCAACTCTTCATAAAAATACAACAAGTTTACAAACGAGCTAGGTATCCGTAGCACTTACATGAACTTCGAACCTGCTGCTTCTGAATGGTTCTCCTTCTCAGAAAAATCGGTACTAGGAAGGGCATTACTGCAAACGTTAAATTTACCCAGGTCTAACTGCATACAAATGGAACCACTGTTCAAAAATTGAATTGCCTTGGCATCTTGCGACATTAAATTTCGATAAAGCACTCGAAGTAAAAGAATTAGCCAGAGTTGAATCTACTAGCATGACAAACGAGGTAGGAGTCGAGGATGAGGAAAAGAGACAGCAGTGCTTACGCCAGGAAAGCTTTCATTTACTCTAAGCATACCATTTCTATTGGGATGCATCCACTTTATTATGTATGTTCGACGGCCCTTTTTGCTAGGAGACGGCAGGAGTCGAACTACTCCCGTTGAATCTCCGAATAATTCCTAGCAAGGGTTTCACAGCCAAAGAGGAGAAACGAGAAGGACAAAGGAAATCTATCATTGTTTCCGTTCAAGCCATACTTCGATCCCGCATATAAAGAAAGTAACAAAAAAATTTCTGCATTTGCTACGCCCTCACACTAGCTACAAAAAAATAACGAGGATTAATACAAGCAAATTTACCTCATCTCTTGCAAGGAAAATTTTCGTTCATCTTTCGTAAATGGTGCAGCGCTTTCTTCAACCCCAGTCAGATTCTCTATCTCTTTCTGGAAAGAAAATACATCGTCTGCATAAATAATAGCAATAACAAAATTGAAAATTTTCGCCATTTACTCACGCTCCTTCGTAACTTTCGAGGCGACACATCAACCCCAGACAAACTGCCGACGCGCTTTGGGCGAATTCGAGGCATTCTGTAAATCAATGACTCAATTCGATCGGATGTTCTTCTCTCCAATCATTTCTAGGTAGTACTGCTTGATTCAGTCAAAATTCTGTTCAATTAAGGTACCACTTTCTTGACTCAGGCAGCCTTAAGCCGCCGTAAAGTGGTGAGTGGAAGGAATCTGATCAAAACTATCAAACTAGCAAAACTTTCATTAGAGGTCTCTGAAGTTTTCACAGACGCTCATTTGTCCGAATAGGTTCCCAAATTCACTACAAAAATGCAAATGCACGAAGCTGCTGCAATGAAACAAGCTGCCGAGTCCATCGTGAGTTCATCTGATGTTCACGAAAAAAGACTTGAAGAACTCTTCCCGAGCTCACATTGTAATTATAAAAACCTGAGTTACTTGAATAATTACAGCTGAAAGGGGGCGCACATCCCTGGCAAGCCATATTTTCTACGTAATGCTAACAGAGAAATCGTAAGAGCAGAACAGATCTGCTGTCTATGGATTAACAACAATGACCGCTGCATCAACAACAAATGACACTCGATTTTTTGAATTATAAAAGTGCTATAATGTAATTCGTTGAAGAACAGAATGCACACATAAAAGGCTTTCATAATAAATCGTTTATCATTATATTGTTCCCTTAACAATCAAAAACACCGCATAAATATTAAATACAAAAATCACATGTCGTTTGTAAACAAGGAAATAAAAGGATGATCACAACAGACGGCAACGAGTACTCATCTCAACAACAATACATAAATCTCCAATGTCGAGCAAAAGTTCAAAGTAAATGATTAGGATATCCTGATGAGAGGAGTACTCGACGCTAACCTACTTCAGCAATGACCATTTGAATTGCTCTTTGGCTGAGCTCATTAACGACATTCCTACTTGCGAAAATGTTTGATCAGAAAATGAGATTTCATCAGCTTTCAGAGCACAGCGAGAAACCACTGATTGAGGGTCTGTCTCCAGAATTATTCTGAAAACATAAAAATTAGAAGAGGCTGAAGGACAAAATCCGTTTGAGTAATGTGTAAAAAAGGAAATGTCAGCTGGAGAGCTTGATATCACCATCAAAAAAAACTACCAGAAGAGTAATAAGACGCATTAGACTTACCCTTCATCACAAATCTCGTCAATGATCAGAATGCACGTGTCCATAGCATCAATGAGGGCTTTCTTTTCAACGTTCTTTCGGAGCACCGTCGAGATCGCATCGAAAAGACAATTCAGCAGCGATTCCAACACCAATTCATTTTCGCG